TTTCAAATATCATTATTGACCCATAGTGAGTGTCAAAGTCGGTCATCTCGTCTCTACCACTTCGAGATTAGGCTTGATACTTACTGGGTACACGTTATTTACATACTCATACTACACTTGTTGTACTTTTTGTGCAGGACCTGAGGCAAGTACTAGTGGAGGACCTATCGTCTTACACCCACGCTATCCAGGAGCGTAGTGGTGAGCTGCCTTTCTAAGCCGTTCTCTAGCTACCAGTGTCTCTTCTTGTATTTACATTCTGTCTATTTTATTTCAGATAATATTTAGAGTTTTGTATAATCTAATAGATGCCCATACACTTGTGACACCAGGTATTGGCACACACTTTGGTAGAATTTAGAATTTATATTATTTTCTTGGATTTAAGTTAATCGGTATCTTTTCTAATTTCTTTAATATTGCTAGTAAAATAATAAAATTTCTCAGAAAATTATTTTGAAGATAATTGATATATGTTTAATTAATTTGTTGGCTTGCCTGGCTGTAGTGTTGGGCGTCATCACGACCTATAGGTTAAACTGAGTCATGACATAAACTAAATTCTAAACAATTAAGGTTTCCTACTATAACTTTGAACTAGTGTATGGAATATGTTTTAGTTTAGCTTTTGTAAAACTAGGTTTAGAACAATGCTTTAAAGATATTTTGGGGAGAGAAATTGTATGTGGTTATCTTTAATTTGAAAAATATACCTTTTGGCAAACATGTAACTTAGTGTAGTTTTTTTTTTTTGATTGTTTTGGTTATCAAAAGATATATATTTTGATATGTTTACACAAAACAAACTGCGTTCTAAAACTACACATTTTTGTTTTTCAGATTTGAATCTTAGATTTTCGATATGATTATGTAATCCCCACGAAGATTTGAAAGTAAACATTCAAAGGGAATTTGAACCAAATTAAAATAACATATATTGAACTAATATTTCTCTAGAATCTATATGTTTCTAGTTTCTAATTGCATTCTCAAAATGCTCTAATTAATGGGAAGAAAGTGCCAAAACCAATCTTAATTAAACGCCAGCCGATTAGGTTAGTGCGCTCTCTCTCTCTCTCTCTCTCTCAACCTTATAATATAATGCTTGATTTTTATAAGTTAGTCTAAATCTGTGTTAGCTTTCATTCATTTAATAAGTGTTATTTTTGCCTTGCCGATTTATTTATCGGTAGTTATACTTGCGGTCAACTGACCGTCCTTCGCCGAAAAATTATACTATGTATAAAGTTAAATATTACTTGTTATTGATTAAAAATAGACTTTGAACACCCTTGCATAGTCCACTGGCAAAGGGTGTTCAAATTTGAACACCCTTATTGAATAATTTTGAACATCCTTATTGAATTTCTTGGTTTCGCCACTGCTTGCTGTTCGGATATATTTGTGTTTGAGTTTGTTTCTCTTCTCTTGGTTCAGATAGATTAGGGAAGTTTGACTTGATTATTATTTCACTGCTATCTTATCGTGTATATTATTTGTGCGTATTTTTTCCCAACAGAATGAGGCTCGAAAGCCTTTCATTTATTCAAATTCATAGCTTACATTATATATAACAAGTAAAAAAAGCCCATGATCTTGCCTCCTACGTACAATACTACACACATAAGAATTGAATAAACACTGCAACTCGTATTATTTCTTTTTTATTTTAACAACTCGTGTACTACTACAAACAAAGTGGAAAGTAACATAACGATCATCTAAAGTTTTCCTTTATTCAATCAATCTCATATTATTACACAAACGATATAATATTCGATAATAGATCGAAAGAAGATGATCGTTCGATATTATTTACCCTTTTATTACTAACAACAAATGGCTTGACAGATATTACTACTATCGTTATTGTTATTGTTATCGTCATTATTGTTGCCGTCATTACCATTTTTACTTGGGCAAGGGCAAGCTACACACATGAAATCGAAAAACATTCCAACTTTTCCGCCTATCTTTTGGAGTGTTGGCTCATTCATCCCATTTGTTTTTTTTATCGTCATTTGCTGCACCAAAAATCATGTATAGTACTCTATTAGATAATGGAAAATAAAATATGTACAAAAATTAAATTTAGAAAATACAAAATACAAGCGGCCTTTTTCTTCTCTATTTAAACAAGAGGAAAGTTAGAATAAAAATTGGCCATCTACGATAGAGAATATCTTAGTTTTACCCTTCGTTATATTTTGAGGTTATTCATACCCTTGTCGCTAGTAAATTATCTCATATTTGCTCTTCACTTTTAAAGAGATCTAGTATAGACTATGTGAGTTCCACATGTCAAGATACTTCAAGAAAAAAGGTCTATATTTACCCATATACTATTTACGGTAGTTTAAAATTACCATATATTAGTACTTCAGGTTAAAGCTCTGTTAGAATCAAGGGTAACTACGAGACAATTTACTAACGTCCAAAGAAGGATATTGTCTTTTCGGCTACGAGTTCAACTGAACCCATAACTTTCGACATAGAGTAGGAATCTATATATAAAAGCCTACTAAAATCTTAACAAGTACTAGATTTGAACCCATAATTTTAACAGTCCAATGAGTTCAATGCCAACAATTAAAAGTTAAAACCATTAAATTTAAATCATGAATCCGCCTATACTAACGACAAGGATATAATAAAATGATCCTGAAGTATAATGGAGGGTAAAATTATGAAATTTCGTATGGTAAATAACTTTTTTCATCCTTTTCGCTAAATAATAGACAATTTAATTTGTCATCTCAAAGTTGTAATTAGTAGTTAATAAAACTACAGTTAAAAAAAGTAATAAGAAAACTTACGTTCAAGCAATGGCATTGAAGAATCAACCATATCCTTAGCAATAACTTCTGATGATATTATCAGAAGAACCAGAGAAAGAATAAGAACATTTGCCTTAAGTGCCATTTGGACGAATTAACTTATAAAATTTTGTTAATATTTAATTTGTGAATGATCAAACAATATGTATTTCTCTCCTATTTATAGATACTTTAAAAAGATTTGGCTTACCAAACTTTAAAAAAAAAGAGTGAAACTCCACACGATAAATTTCCCCAAACTTAGCTGCCAACTCTTTAAATTTGTTAATCTTTGTTTCTGCACTTTGAATAATACTATATCATCTCTGGTACTTTGTATACTGTGCTATTTTCTATGTGTAAATTACTTAATTTACATTAAATGGCTGAAACTTGTATTTGTAGACACAAATTCTATCGGATTAAGTCCAGATAATATTTGAGCAATATTGAATAATTATTACCCCCGCACATCTCCAAATGAGAGCAATCGTCTTTACCTCTAGAAAAGATGCGATGTAATTTCCTGGTTCGATTATATTGCTCGATGTAATTGAGTCTTAAAGGGTAATTGCATAAGTAATCTCTTTTCTTATGAGAACTACGAATCATCCTCACGAATAAGCTCTACTCTACCTTAAGGAGATGTGGAGGCAATAAATTCCGTGCAGCTTTAACTAACTCTACTCCTTCATACGCCTATCCTTTAGTTTAATGTGTCAGGTCCTTCGGCATTCCATTAGCTTTCGCTTTAGTTTGCATTCAAAGTCTTGGAATGCGAGCTTATGTGCTTTCAGGTATAGACACCATTCGTCTAACTTTCTTGACGTCCTAGGATTCTCCCCTAGTATTCCACTCTCTCCCCCTCTCGGCCTAGCTTTCATTCCTGTCTCATTTGATATAGCTCCTAAGGCAGGGAATCTTTTCGAAGTCGTCTAAGTCTTGTAAGGCTCCTATATCTATATATAGCGAGGTCATGGTATGGAGGGAGGATTTCTATGTGCATACATCGTGGTTGGGGCATTCCTCCTCCTTTTAAAAGAAGACTAGAAGACGGAAGAAGAAGGATTTTCCAAAGAAGATGGGATCAGAACTTAATAAATTTAAAAGTTTCTATTCTATATCCGTTGCAACTAGTATTTGGGTCTTAAGTCGAAAATTGTGGTCAAATGAATATTATGGATCAATATAATTAGGTGTTAATTCTTTAAATCTAGTTACTCCAATTTATAGTAAATTCAACTATATTTTGACTAGACCATCAATAGTAGGCCAATGTTTCTATTGTCAAAATATGAAAGCTCGTCGAAGATAACTCTAATGATAATATTATATTTCCATAAGGTATTTTGATGGTTTTCAATTGATTCCCAACACATATCGAGAGTTGATATTTGATTTGTGTTGGTGAGAGATAACAAGTATTTTATAAAATTAATCGAGGTGCACACAATCTGGCAGTAACACCACTAATCAAAGATCGCGAACAACAATCGAGTTCATCCAATCTTTAATTAGTTTTAACCGGCTCGATCCGACTCCCAACTCCTCAAGACCTCAACAAAAGTCTGGATCGACGACATCAAAAAATTGCAAAAATATAATATTTTTGAGGTGGTCTTTAACTTTTGGTCCCTGCTTATCTGTGCAGAACTTCAAGATCAAAAGTTAAAAGTATTGATTCGGGAGAAAAGTGAGAGAATCAACACTTGCTAATCTTAAAACTTTACCATGGGGAAAACGGAGAAACAAATTCAAGACTACCTATTTTGAAGGTTATTTGTGTACTTCACCTGCGAAACTCGATTCAAACTTCAAATGAATAGTAGGTCAGTCTTGGTCTAGATGGACACTTGTTTAATCTAATCAAAATATAGAAAAATTTGCATCGTATAACCTTTTCTGATATCACTCTTTACAAATTACCCTCAATCTTATACCTTTATAGATTGTGGGTAATTGTTTTAGAAGATATTGTGTTGCCTTTTAGGGTTATCAATAATTTGTAAAAGTTTGCTAATTTTAAGAATAAATTTGACCGAACGAGTATAAATAAATTTTGCGGGATAATATAAAGGACGTTAAGTAGGGAGTAAATTTAACCTTTTTCCATTGAATAAATATTTAAATGCGGCCAACTTTAGACGAACTAACGGAGACAAAATTTAAATTATGGCCTCATAAAAGGCCATTTGTGCAAATGCTCCATTTTCACGCTCACACACAAAAACATAACTTTTCTACAATTCTCAAAGTTTTCTCTATTTTATGTACTTCTATTTGCTGAAGGTTTGTAAATTTGGGAATTTGACTCAAAAGTTTCGGACTTATTGCATAAGAAGCATAATTGGCACAGAATTAATCAACGGCTGGAGGGAGGAGGTAGCATCTCTACACTTAATCCTTTTTTTACTCTTAATTTCCTCTACTTATTGTGCTAAATAGAGCTGTATTAGTTTTGGTGGTTGAGTTTATGTTTTTTGAAATGGTCAGTTGACTTGGATTAAAGATTTCGGCCTTTTTTCTTTTGGGTAATTTCGTCGTGATTTTTGGCGTTTAATGTTTAGTTTATCTGAAATGGTCACTTGAGTTGGATATAAAGTTTTCAACTTTATTTGTTTTTCTTTTGTAATTTCTTGGTCATTTTTGGTGTTTAATGTTAAGTTTGTCTGAAATGGTCACTTGAGTTGGATAAAAGTTTTCATCTTTATTTGTTTTTTTTTTCTTGGTGATTTATTGGTGCTTAATGTTAAGTTTATCTGAAATGGTCACTTGATTTGAATGAAAGTTTTCAACTTTATTTGTTTTTTTTGTAATTTTTGGCATCTTGGCAAGGATTTTTTGTCTATATTTTGAGATTGTGGTTTGAAGTAGTGTCTCCTTAGGATATTTGAATTGAATGAGCTAATATGCTTATAAAACCAAAGCATGATTTTAGGAAAGAAACCTGTATAAAATTGGACTAAAGTCATGAGTGTCAATTGTGAAGAGTAACAGGGTCGAGATTAGAGAATGCTTATCGTTGATGGTATTCTGTGTATCTCTTTTCTTAGGAATGGCGAATGCTTGGAAACACGTAAGCTAACAGCTCTCCATATAAGTTGGATCATTCTCCATGTTAATGCACCGACTGGTTATTTTAATTAATATCAGATTGGCAAGTGTTGTCGGTCCTCTAAGGTACTATTCGATTTATCTTGATATGACTTGATCAAAAAGCTTTCGTCAACTATTCGTTGATTCAGACAATGTAATTTGGTGAACAGAATGAAAGTTACATTGCTTAACTAAATGGTTAGTTTCGGTGTAAAAAGATATGGCTTTCAAAGAATTTTGTTCAGATTATTAACTGTAAGTTCTGCCTACTCTCTAGTATGTAAATCTTCAAGTGCCCAAGTAACATAACACTTGAAACACAGAATAGGGAATTTTTATGGTGTAAAATGCCATGCAGTCGTAATAAGATCCTAAGCAATTTGTGAGGTGACAATGTTTGTAATTTTATTATTAAGTGTGAGAATTATGACAGGCTCAAAAAAACATGTTTCCTCATTTTCTGGAAAAAGGATAACGCTAAACCTCATTACTTGCCTTCTTAGGTGCAGAAAAGACGAATGAGAGACACAACTGAGGCAAATGCCTATTTTTGAAGCGTAGAGCTGGTGTATGCACTCTTCACTTGCCTCATTGTATAACTATTGCATCATTCTTGTATGAGTAGCTAACGAAACAGGGTTGAAGATGTGGAGCTTAATAATAAAATATTTTTCATGATTGTTTTATGATGCTTGTTTAGCAAAAATACGCTTGTTTGTGTCTTGTACATCAATTTCAGATCATTTGGTCTAATTTTCAACCATGTGATTACAATTTCTAACCATTTGAACCAAGTCCGTTCTAACTGGCCCTTAAGGCAATTCACTGTGCCTGAGAACTTGGTTATTATATCTCTGAGATAATCAGAAATACCTCTGGTAACTGAATTTTTTTGCCTCCGGAGATAACCATTTAGCATTAAAAAGTAGGAGTGAAAATTTTGCTGAATTTCCATGGACACTCATTTTTCAAACATTGTAGGACTCGACCCTCGATATGGCTGCATTCTATACTCTTTTCCCTAGTTAATGCAGCTGGAATTCCAAATAATTGAGTTAGTTTACCTCAAGCGGATTTGAACCAATTTGCTACTCAGGAATGCTTTCAATGTTTGCCAGAATCTTTCTTCAAAGGACTTCATATTCAGCTATATTAACCAACAGCACCAGCACTTTTAGGTGTCTTAAAACTATAACACCTTCCGTCGACCCGGATAGCAATCCTTTCGGGGGCAAAGGTAGTTGCAGCAGAAGTGTACCTAATGATGACTACTTTGCGACAATTCATCATATATCTAACATTGTTCGGCGAGATATTTACATGGAGCGGACCCTCAACAAGATGCATATTTCTAGTATTGTTAACTCAGAACTGGTTTACCGTATCCTTCGAAGTTGTTGCCAACATGGTATTGAATCATTTCGCTTCTTTAATTGGGCTCGGACTCAACACCCTCAGTATGACCCAACGACCGTCGAGTTTGAAGAGCTTCTTAAAACCCTTGCCCGAACTGCCCACTGGGAGACAATGTGGAAAGTAGTCCAGCAGATGAAAGCCCAGAATATCCCTATCTCACCCTCCATCGTTTCATTTATTATTGAACACTATGGTAAGCGTGGTCTCATTGATCAGGCTGTCGAGCTCTTCAACCGGCTCAAGAACTTCAATTGTCCTCATACCACCGAAGTATACAATGCTTTGCTTTTTGCTCTTTGCGAGGTCAAGAATTTCCAAGGGGCCTATGCATTGATTCGGAGGATGATACGAAAAGATACTGTTCCGGATAAGAAGACATATTCCATTCTTGTAAATGGCTGGTGTTCGGCAGGGAAGATGAGAGAGGCACAAGAGTTTTTGGAGGAAATGAGTCGAAAGGGATTCAATCCTCCGGTACGCGGGAGGGACCTTCTAATTGATGGGTTGCTTAATGCTGGCTATCTTGAATCAGCTAAAGGGCTGGTGAGGAAAATGACAAAGGAGGGGTTCGTTCCAGATGTTGGAACTTTCAATTCGTTGGCAGAAGCTATATGTAAAACCGGGGAGATTGATTTTTGCATTGACCTTTTCAATGATGTTTGTAGATTGGGGATTTGTCCTGATATTGAGACTTATAAGATTGTGATAACTGCAGCATCAAAAGTAGGGAGGATAGATGAGGCATTTCAGATTCTTCATCGGTCAATTGAAGATGGACAACGGCCATTTCCTAGTTTATATGCTCCAATTCTAAAAGCTTTCTTCCGCAGAGGACAGTTTGATGATGCATTTAGCTTTTTCAGTGAGATGAAGCTGAAGGGGCATCCACCGAATCGCCCACTTTATACTATGTTGATAAAGATGTGCACTCGTGGAGGTAGATTTTTAGAGGCTGCTAACTATTTAGTAGAAATGACCGAGTTAAATCTGTTGCCTATGTCACGAAGCTTTGACATGGTCACAGATGGATTGAAGAATTGTGGGAAGCATGATCTAGCCAAAAGGATCGAGCAGTTGGAGATATCCATTAAAGGCATCTGAATCAATGTGTGGCTCTAGCTAAAGTGTTCTCTGTATCACTGCACTTGAGGAAGATTACATTCTTAAAGTTGAAAAGGTTCTATTTCTGTAGATCTATTTTTTCTTTACTTGCTTTCTCTAAATCAGGACATTCATAACTTATAATATCTGGAAACTTTGTTTGCATACATAGACAACCTTTTCACTTGTTTAAAGTTGTTTTATCTTCATTAGCATGCACATTCTTGTCATTCATTTGTATATGCCAACACTCGAAACTGATATTTCCGTGCAAGTTTCTCCCTTTCTCTTTCTCGCCTGGATTGAACTTGTTATTAGGGATTCCAAATTATCTTTGTCGACATTAGAATTGCATAGATATTATTGCAGAAAATGGATCTAACGGTTTGCTTTCTCTCTTGTATTCAGGTGTACAGTTGAGGTGCCACATTGTTCAACCAACCTCAGCTCATTTGTGGCGTTTTGCCTTGTAGAGCACCTATTTGAACGTCTCTAGCCACGATTTTGAGTAATTTGGAACGAAATCACGAAAGAGCCTTTAACGGTGTGAAGATCATTACAAAGGCAATAGTTTGTTTTCTGTTGGTTCCAACTTATAAAAGGCAATTGTAAACTACTGGTGAAAAATCACCAGAAATGCTTTTGTTGATAGTCCTTAAATTATTCAAGCTACATTAAGCTTGTGAGGGGTTGTCTTTAGATGCTGAGTTTTCTGTGGGAATAACTTGATTCTTTCTCTGAGTGAGTTGTTCTTGTATCCTTTTAGCAACACTAGCTTCTAATGTATCATTCAGAAGCGGATCCAGGATTTGAATTTTATAGGTTCAGACTCAGAATTTCTACCACATTGCATCTAATTTACTGGATTCGAAACCTTTTATTTGTACTTATTTAGTGATTTTTTAAACACATATACATGGTATAAGTCTGTGTTCAGAAGAACCCATAGCCGCGATAGATCACACGGGCCTTTTGTTATCGGAAGTTTCCATCGATTTTCTACAGCTGTGGCAGTAAAAATATGCCATTTTTTGGTAGTGAATGATGAACAAAAAAACTGTGACTAGGTAAAATTACCAGTTCACTTCACATATCTGTTTATGATATCTTTCAAACGTATTAGTTGATTTTTCTAAGATTTGTTTTCGTAGTTTATCAATCAAAATTAAGATTTACATGTAAGTTATTGTGTCTCACTGTTGTCTCTACTTAATTTATCGTCTTTTCTCTTTTCTCTTAATTTATCTGTGAAATTACCCCGTTATTTAAATAATTATTTGTGGAATTTCAAGATTTTGGTATGGGAGTTTAGAGAAGCAAAGGCAGAGGCAACCTGTGTGCAAGTACGGAACTGATATTCTTCACTAAGTGGAGACTCATGCCACCATTATTTTTAGGAATTTGTTATAAAATTCACCTCTATCTTATTAGCTATTTTTCGTACTATATAAAATATGTTTATAAAGTTTTCACTGTTACTTGTGTAAGTAATATTTAATTGTTATTAATAAAATTAATTTTTTGTTTTGTTCATTTATTCCAATAAAAAATAATACTATTTATTTTTTCACTAGGTAAGTTTGTTACATAAATTTAAAAAGATTACATATAAGATGATTTTAAAGAAGTAAAAGAAAGATAAAGGTTGATAATGTAAGGTACTTGACATATTAGGGGGAGAACGTCTATTATTTAAAGTTGAGAGGGGAGTTTGCTTTTTAAAGTAAACTTATGAGTGTAAAACATAATAATAGTCAAAAACAAATGCAAGCAAACAAACTCGGTTAATGGGATCTATAAAATGCACTCTACGATTGCGATTTGTAGTTTCGATTTGTAACACAAGTTCCCCTTTGTTTCGGCTAACAGTTTCCTCCTCGACGATCCGAGTACAAACTCCACCATTTTTGACGGCGAATGAAGTAATGTCAGCTCAAATATAACCCATGTTCAACCTCCAATTACTTCACAGCTTCAAAGCCCTAGTCGCCATTCCCCTCTAAATCTTTCTGATTGTAGGTAATTCTATAAACAATCCACTGATACTATGTCGTTATGAGCACGAACATTTCCATCCTTTTAAAAAATATATATATATATATTGCTCAATTTCAGTTGAAAGTTTCCATTTTTTAAATTCTTTTCAAAATCCCAGCTCCCTTATGTTGATTATGATTTTTTGGTGTTAACAGTTGTTTTGAGTTTGCATTTTGGTTCTTATTTTGTAGTTTTGAATTTTTACTTTGAATTTCAGTTGGAAGAAGTGATGGTTTCCCATTTCACGTCTCGTCTTCTTTCTTGTTCCTCTTTAGTTTGAAATTTCCAGGGAAGAAAAGAACCTCAAAAAGTCTCTCCAGCTTACAAAAATGTCTCAATTTTGGAAACCGGGAACTGAACGTCCCCGCCTTGTAGATGATGAAGAGGGTGGTGTTCTTCTCTATCCTACTTCTTCCTCTTCTTCCTCTGGGTAACTTTTACTGCTTTCTTTGTTATGCCTATGCATTTATTAGAGGTGTCAAATGGGCGGGTTGGGCCGATTTTGGGCGGGTCAAAACGGGTTGAGTCACTAATTGGGCGGATCCAATGACCCACCCAAAAGTTACTCGGTGTAAGATAGGTTGGGTCAAGATGGGCTAAAATTTGGATCATAGCCCAACCTGCCCAACTGTTATCGAGCTTTACTTAATGAGGAATTTTCAGAAACCACTATTATTTAGTGGCTATTAACTTTATATAGCTACCATATACATAATTAATTCCTATAACTACTATTCAGTTGTTACGGTAGTGTATTCACATGTATTTGCGCTGCTTTATTCATGAATACAGCAGCAAAAAGCGCCTAAAATCAGGGCAATCCAGCTGTACGCACATGTATTCAGATGTATTCGCGCCATGTATTCTTGAATACAATAGTAAAAAGCGCCTAAAATCAGAGCAGTCCAGCTGTACGCGCATGTATTCACATGTATTCGCGCTACTGTATTCACCAGCAGTAAAATGCGCCCAAAATCATGGCAGTCCAGCTGTACGCGCATGTATTCACATGTATTCGCGCTATGTATTCATGAATACAGCAGCAAAAAATACCTAAAATCAGGGCAGTCCAGCTGTACGCGCATGTATTCACATGTATTCGCGCTATGTATTCATGAATACAGCAGCAAAAAATACCTAAAATCAGGGCAGTCCAGCTGTACGCGCATGTATTCACATGTATTCGCGCCATGTATTCATGAATACATTAACGACAATTCCTTAAAAATAGGTATGTCCAGCCGTCTAAGAGAGAGGAAAAACATAAATAGCGTATTTCATGACTCAATGGTAGTATATACTATAAAATACTTATTTTGCTATAAAATATAAAAGGTAACTATAGAAAATAATATTTTAAAATAATTTTGGTTTATAATAAATAGGGTGTATACCTTTGCTACAAGAGGTAAAATTTCCTTACTTAATATGTGTTATTTTTTTTTATGAATTGTATAATTACTAAATAAGATTTTTTTTTCTTTTGTTATGGTCATATATAACATATCAAACAAAAAAAAATTATTTCTAAGATATTTTGGTAAAGTACTCATGGATCAATTTGGGCTAAAAATCAGCCCAACTTTAAATGGGTTGAGATGGGTTGGGTCAAGATGAGCTGAGATCAATAAATGGGTGGGTCCATGACCAGCCCAACCTTGGACGGGTTGGGCGGGTCATTTGGGCTGGGGCCAAGATTGACAGCCCTAGTATTTATGTTAACACCTCAATTTCTATGTTGTGTTATTTATATATGTTAGTTTATAGATATGTATAGTGTAGTCTTGTCCCACATTGGAAGAGGAGTAATATCTCCTTGTAGTGTATAGCTATAAATAGGGACCTCTTGTATTGTATTTATCATCTAATATCAATAATATATTTTCTCCCGTGCTTTCTCACATGGTATCAGAGCATTAGTGAGAAAAGATCGCTGTGCGTCATTCCAGCGTTAACCGGGAAGAAAGAACTTAGTCATCGTGTAATTTTTCCGGTGACCTAAGGCTTGTCTAAGTGAAAGTCACTTTCTGTCGGTGTTGTGCTAAAACCAACACCACCA